GTTCTCCAGGAATGGCACCAGGTCACCGAGCCGAGGCTCGCGGGAAGAGCGCAACAACCACCCCATCCTCAGTGTCTTTGAGCTTGAAAGGTTGCTGTACACAGGAAAGACAGCCTGTAACCATGCTGATGAGGTCTGGCCAGGACTCTACCTGGGAGATCAGTATGTATCGGAAGGGGACAAGAACTGGGGAGTTCGGGGTATTTTTGTGAAATGGGGAAATCTGGGAGGGGGAGGTTGGGAAAAGTGAGGGAGAGTGGGACACAATGGGTGTGGTACATTGGGACAAAGGAGTGACATAAGCACGGCTGTGCGGAGAGTTTAGAGCACTGCTGTGGCAGTGTAGGTGGAGGTGGTGTGCCTGTGGAGTCAGGGACTGAGAGAATGCGTTTTTCCTTTGCATCCAGCTTTCTCAGGTGTAAATGTTTGTCCAGGACAGCCCTTACGCTGTCCTTGGAAACTTTTAACTAGTCTAAACGTATGCATCTCTGCACCATTTCTTACTCTCCACAGAGATATAGCGGCCAACCGGCGTGAGCTGGCTCACCTGCGCATCACCCACATCCTCAACGCCTCGCACAGCAAGTGGAGGGGGGGTGCTGAGTACTACGAGGGCACAGGAATTCGCTACCTGGGCATCGAGGCCCATGACTCGCCTTCCTTTGACATGAGCCCCTACTTTTATCCTGCAGCTGACTTCATCCACCAAGCGCTGAATGAAGGTCAGTGGTAAAGATTACTGGGAGAGAAATGGGGAGCAGGGAGGGGAAGAAGCTCCCCTGGGCAGGTGGGAAGCTAGATTGATATCCTATTGATAAGCATCCTAGAAAACAAAGGTATTTCTAGCCTGGGAGGGTGTCTCCTGCACTGGATCACCTCCTCCAAAGAGGGAACAGGCTAGATGAGAGCATTGGCCCCCAGGTCACAGTCCCAGCCTGTGACCTGAGCTGTGGCTGGTCCTATTCAGTCTGTTTTGAGAGATCATGATGCACTGATACCCTTTGCCAAGAGGGGGACCTCAGTGCATCACATTCATACTGTAACTGGGGCCCTACATCTAACCCCGGAGGCTGCACATCTGAGCCACAGCTCCAGGATGCACTGTGGCCAACAGTTGGGTCCTCAGTATTTTTTTAATTAGGATATTTGGTCTGTTGTGACACAGCCGCTGTGTTTCACCCCCAGGAAGGATCCTTGTGCACTGTGCTGTCGGGGTGAGCAGGTCGGCCACCTTGGTCCTCGCCTACCTCATGATCCGCCACCACATGCCCCTTGTAGAAGCCATAAAGACGGTCAAGGACCACCGTGGTATCATCCCCAACCGGGGTTTCTTGCGCCAGCTGGTCGCCCTGGACAATGCCCTGAGGTTGAAGAGGAGTGCGTGAAGGAGGACAAGAGGGGTTGTGCGGTGGGAGCATTGTGTGTGCAGTGCTTACCTGACCCCGATGCCCACTGAGTGGCAGAGATAGGGCTTTCCTCACGGTGCAGACGCTTGGCAGCTAATGGGTTACATGCAACTGGCCCCTGGGCCTCCCCCTCAGACAAGGGGGTCCCCAGACATGTGAGCTATACCTAGTGGTAAAATATAGGCCCTCAACCTGCAATCTTGCCACCTAGGTAGGCCTAATGTATAGCCTCCTTCCCAGCCTGCTCGCTCCAAGATGCCTCCAGAGGAACTCAGCCCCACGTTTCAGGTTACTCTATCCCTTTGGCTCCAAGAAGCCTTCAAGGCTTCATTCTCCCACATGGCAGATGTGTTTGCAAAGCCAGTCCCGTCCCTCCCTCCCAGGAGACTGAAGCTCTGTGTGTTGCTTGTCTTGTTTCCCATTTGTTTTTGGTCTGTGTAGCAATGTGAATTAGGTCTGGTGTGTGGGCTCAGGCAAACAGGCCTTTTGTCGCAGTGTTTGGATGTCCTCCATGCCTAGTGCTAACCTGTAAAAATAAAGGCAGTGCTAAGGAAAAAGCTTGTGTGCTTTGGGACAGACTTCATGTGGTCAGGCTGGGATCCATCACAGGGGTCGGTGGGAGAGCATCACCCTGAGTGCTCTGGCTTGAGATGGACCTGAGTCTTCCGAGTTCCTTGGTCCAGGGGCTGAACCTGTCAGACCCTGCTGGTGGCCAGTGCCAGTGCTGGGCCTCACCACTCTATTTTTCCAGCACTGGGGACAGAAAGGGGGGCTCCTGGTGGAAAGCAGAGCTGGGCTGGCAGTCACCAGGGTCGCCATCCATCACGAGGTGGCGATGTCGGTCTCCCAAAAGGCAGGCAGGCACCAAGCTGTGCACCCAGGTTTGCAGGAGGGCCGGCTGTCCCCTGGGGGCGGCGAAAAACACCCTCGCTGCTTGCTGAGGGGATGGATGGGCAAGCTCAGCCCCAGGAAGGTGGCCAGGGCCAGGAGCGAGTGTCCTTGGTGGCCTCACGGGTGCTGGGCTGCCCCTAGACACTGCCAGCACTCATTGTCTGCCCGCTCCTATTTTAGCCCCATTCTTCCTCCGCTTCCTGAGAGCACACAAAGCACCACTCGGCTGCCGGCTATATGTTGTGCTGAGATCACGTCAACACGTAGCTTGAGGAGCCCCAAGGGTGGGCCGCGTGGCTTGCAGCATGCTGAGGCCCACTGTAGCACCCCGTCACTGCTAAGTGCTGGCCCCAAGCAACCCTGCTCTGAGACAAGGAGGAACTGGTGTTGGGCAATGCACGGCGTCTAGTCGTGCTCTCTGGCGGTGCTGGGTGCTGCTGGGACTGTTGGACATGCCAGAAACTTTGGTGGGGAGGACTGCAGCTTGGCAAGGTCCTGGGGGGTGTAAAATGCCTCCTGTCTGATTTTGCAGTTCTGCTTTGTGCTCCTTGCTGCCGCGAAGCGCCCTTTGTGCAGCCTGCTGCCAGTCGGCCTCCGAAAGCTGCGCTTTGACAAGCGAGATCCCCTCCCCGGGATCAGGGAGGCACTGAGCAGATTGTGTTTGGAGGATCAGCAAACTAAATCCAGAGAGTGAAATCACTGGCAGAGCCTGTGGTGTGCGGCACCTTATTGTGTACTTGCAGTGGCCGAGCACCTGTGTTGGGATATCGAAGCGTAGTGTGGGTAAGTACCCTGATTTCAGGAGGGCTGCCAGGCCAGCCCCAGCCACTGGCAGCAGCAAACAGCCCGATCACCGGGGTGGAGGAGGATACACAGAGCCCACGAGACTGCCAGCCCTGACACGGGGCACGTGGGGCTACACGGAACCGTTGCACAGCCCCACGCCGCCAAGTCCTGCTGCCTTCATCAGTCATCAGCTGCCTGCAGGGTCCGTAGTTCAGGTGGAGATGCTGACCAGCTCCAAAACCATCCCCAAGGGCCACCAGGAGCTCAGTGCCCTCCGGAGGCTCCCCCAAAGGGCTGGTATGCACGCAAGGCCGGGCTGGCAGATGCGACGCAGGTGAATCCAAACCCGGGTCACCTGCAGAGCGCTTCTCTGCTGGGTGATGGGGCCGTGTTTGGGCAAAGTCCCTTTGCCTGTGCACCTTTCGTGGGAACATGCGCGGCTGAAAGGCGCATCGCGGGCACACGTACCAGGGGGACACGCGTGGCAGGAATGAGGATCGCGGAAACGTGCGCGGCGGGAGCAGCCCGGGCCCGGGGAAGCTGTGTCTC